CTCTGTTTAGGTCTGTACTCCATTTTTGGATTATGTGATCTTTTGGTGTCTAATTTCTTGAGTTCCTTGTATATTTTGGAGATCAGACCTCTGTCTGATGTGGGGTTAGTGAAAATCTCTTCCCATTCTGTAGGCTGTTGTTTTGTCTTGTTGACTGTGTCCTTTGCTTTACAGAAGCTTTTCAGTTTCAGGAGGTTCCATTTATTAATTGTTTCTCTCAGTGTCTGTGCTGCTGGGTTCTATTTAGGAAGTGGTCTTTTGTGCCAATGCGTTCAAATGTATTTCCCACTTTCTCTTCTGTAAGGTTCAGTGTGACTGGCTTTATGTTGAGGTCTTTGATCCATTTGGACTTGAGTTTTGTGCGTGGTGATAGATATGGGTCTATTTTCATTCTTCTACATGTTGATATCCAGTTATGCCAGCACCACTTGTTAAATATGCTTTCTTTTTTCCATTTGATATTTTTTGGTTCTTTGTTAAAAATCAGATGTTCAAAGATGTATGGATTGATATCTGAGTCTTCTGTTCAGTTCCACTGGTCCTCCCGTCTGTTCTTATGCCTACAGAATGCTTTGTCTACAGAATGTTTTGGTCTAAGGTGTGTTACTTGTCTTGTTCTAGCAACAGAATGCTTAACTAAGAATGTAGCCCGAATCTTCAACTGGCCTGTTCATTTACCTTGTATCCTGTTAATGCAGTTTTTTTTTTTTTTAAATCTTACTCCTCCCTTTTGGCATTGGGGTATTTTAAGCAAATGGAAATTAAATGTGAGTGGATTTCAGTATTCACAAGAACTCCCTCAAAGAACTATCCCGTGTTTCTGTTTTATTATTTTCACTAATGTCTTTGTTCTCTTTACTTATTTTTCTAATCCCCATGCCCCTACCCTGGTAAGTGGTGTACTTGTCAAGCCTGGTCTCCGATAGAGGCTACCCTGGTCTACAGGGCAAATTCCAGGACAGCCAGGGCTACACAATGTAACCCAGTCTTAAAACAAAACAAAACAAGCAAACCAAAGAATGATACTGAGTAGCCAGTATTCTTTTCTTTCTTTCTCAGCATAAAACAGAAACTGCAAAGTGTAGCCCTCTGCCTGATGGAGGAGGATCTTGCTAGGCAAACCTGGGGAGCACGCCTGCTGTCCCATTCCAACCAGAAAGAATAACACTGCATGCAAATTACCTTGTTATTTTATTAAAAGCATATTTACACTTTTTTTTGTTTGCAGAGAACAGTTTACAAAAATTTTACACGACGGTTGGAAATGACATACACATTACATATATCCTTCATGAGGGGAAATATAAGTTAGTTACATTTATTCGGCTGAAGACATCTCTGCCTGTCCCTATACAGAGAACATTAGCACGGGGCATGAGGAATACTGCATGGGCCTTGTCGGCAGCAGGCATTGCACATATGCTAAATGATAAGGCTGGGAGACTAGGCTAGACCCCATTCAAAAAGGCACATTAGAGCAACAAGGGCTCAGGTGGCACTAAGTATGGAAGCAACAATCGCACAAAGGACCAGGAGGATAGTATGAATGATAAGTCAGGAAATGACCAAAGGCTTTACCTGAACCACAAAACTGGAATTTTGCCTAATAGAGCCACTGTCAAGTCCCCTGGACGCCAAAAAAAAAAAAAAAAAGCAGATTGTAAACAATGACAGAAGCAGCCCTGCCCACTTCCATCTCCAGGTCCTGCAGGTGTGCACAATTTGTTTCTCAGTCACCATGCACCAGAGAGAACAAAGTCAACTGTTCCTCACGACCCCCAAAGGCAAGCTGATGCTCGCTACCCTGAGAACTATGGCCTTCCTGGACTCTCTGAGTTCCTTTACCGCACACGAGATCAGGGAGCCCTAAGCCCTGTTTTCCTATCTTTCTAGCCCAGTCCCTCCTAGGCACCCAGTTAGCATCCGGGGAAACTTTCCAGGGAATTGCCTTAGCATCAGGCAGCTGGTAGAGAAATCCTGCTGAGGTCTGAGCCCCTCACCACCCTCAGGTGCCTGAGTTGGCGTAGGCAGCAGCGGCAGCACTGGGAAGTAGCTTTTTATTTATTTTATTTATTTTTTTTATTTTTTATTTATTAACGATTTCTGTCTCTTCCCTACCGCCGCCTCCCCTTTCCCTCCCCCTCCCCCAGGGAAGTAGCTTTTTAAAGTGTCTTCCTGAGGTGGCCAGCCATTTACATCTGCTTTAACGGAGCACAGAGGCATCAGAGTCAAGAAAGGTTTGTTTTATCAGTGATCACAGGCTGGGTGGACAGCTGCTCTTCTAGGTTGCGACACAAGGTGGCCTGTGGGGCTCAGCATCTCAGAAGGCCACCTGAGCCACCCCAAGGCCCAGAACCACAGAGGCTCAGTATCTTTGCTTCTGCATGTTCCTGGGAGCGGGAAGAACAAAGTCCAAGGGCTCACAAGGCTTAGCTGAAATGTATGGTGGGACCCCAGGACGGGACCAGGGCAAAGGCCGAGAGCCTTCCCAGGGTACCTGCAGACAAGCGGGCGAGGGTGAGGTTGGCATGTGCCAGGCAGCAGAAGTTGGCTGTGGAGAGGCGTTTACTCCTGAACACAGGATCCTGGGTGCAGCCAAATGAGTTGCAAGCTGGCAGTACAGCCTGTGCCTTCTCTGGGCCCTGGTGCCAGCACGCAGCATGGCCCCACCAGCTGCTCACCTGCCATGCTCGGCGGTCCAGGATCAGGCTCAGGAGGCAGCAAGCAGGTTCCGTAGGAGGCCAGGGCAGAGGCAGTCAGGGTGGTGTCAGGAGGCCAAGTTGCACGCATGTGTACATGTGTGTGTTTGTGTGTGTGTGCCCAGCAGGGTGAACATTTCTGGTCTCCCTTCCTCTATTCTGACCCCCACATATACAGCGCCTGGCATCAAGCACCAAGTGAGTGAGCTGGCTGGAGCAGTAGAATGAGGACACCCCGGAAGGCTGGCTGCTAGGGACTGAAATGGCTGTTAGGGATGCTTTCGGACACTGTGAGGAACTGCGGGGGGGGGGGGGGGGGGGGGGGGGGGGGGGGGGGGGGGGGGGGGGGGGGGGGGGGGGGGGGGGGGGGGGGGGGGGGGGGGGGGGGGACCTCAAGGATTACAATAAGGATGAGTTCACGGTGACGTCATTGGTAGTACTTATGCTCACAAACAGTACTTATGCTTTGGCAAACAGGAGGGGGCACACCCATCACGCCTGTTCCCTGACCCCAAGAACCCAAATCACTTCCAGGTGATGGGAATATGAGTCTCGATGAAGTCATCCACCAGAAGCACCAGGGCTGCTCTGGGGACAACTAGGGCACTACAGGCTGAGGGGCTGGTTCGAGCAGGCACAGAAGCAAAAGAGGTCCTGAGTGACTTGTTCATAGAGGCTTGGAGGCCCCAGTGGTCATGCTGCTACGTCGCCCACCACAGCTCGGAGATGGGGGTATTAGGAAGAGTCCCCAGAGCTGTAGGGGAAGAACTTGCTGGCTCTATTGGGTGTGGTGGGTCCGGGTTCCGCCTCCTCACTCAGTTTGAAGAACATTTCCTGTTCCCGCTTCTTCTGGTTCAAATCCTCTTCCAGGGCCTGGGGAAGAGAGGGCAGATGGTTCTCAGTGGGATGCCAATCATTCCAATGGTAAACAGCGCACGACCTTCTCCGGACACCGGACAGCTCCCACCCAGGCTCAGGGGATGGGCGGAAGGTCTCTCCCTTCCTCTCCCTGAGGCGAGCATCCCCACCTCACCTCTTGCCAGGCACCTTGTAAATCCCAAGGAAATGCTGGTAAAGGAATCAGGGACACAGACAGCACTCTCCTGGCAGGGAAGAGCCAGATGAATAGAGAAAAACCAGGGGAGAGGATCTGATAGCAACTAAGTCAGAGATGGCAGACTGGCGCCACATCCTTATCAGGGCACTGTGCTGGGAAGACAGTCCCTCTGCCCCTCTGGGGGTCTGATCTTAGAAATATCAGGATTTCAGAAATTCTCAGGCCACTGGAGGCTGCTTTCCACACAGCACAGGAGCATCCTTTGGTTACGTGCTCATTTAACCCAACAAACCAGATCCCACCAGAAAAGACTTCCTAAAGATGCGGAGACAGCGCCAGTTCAGAAAGGAAGTGGAAGAGGTGGTAGGGAACGCGAACCATCAGACAACTTATCAGAGGAGAAACTGGATTTATGCAAAATCTTTACTTAAATGCTAGCAATTAAAAAGACCTGAAAAATCACTCTATTGCCTCAATGAAGTATAATGCGTTGGTAAACCGTGCAGCCCAGGGGTCCAGTGTGTGGCCTGCAGTGAAGGGGTCACTAACAGTTCTGCGGTGTAGGCACAGGATCATCTAGGAGATCACCCAGTTTCAAAGCCAGGAAGAGCTGAGCATGCCCACTCCAAATGGCCAGGATGTTCCCAAATCTGACAGCGCTAGTTTGATGCTGCAGTGAAAAATCCACCTCTGACCTCACAGGGCAAGTGGCAATCAAAAACGTGGGTCTGCCAAAAATACCTTCTGGCACCGGGCAGTGGTGGCACACGCCTTTAATCCTAGGTAGAGACAGGAGGATCTCAGTGAGTTCGAGGCCAGCCTGATCTACAGAGTGAGTTCCAGGACAGGCTCCAAAGCTACAGAGAAACCCTGTCTCAAGAAAACAAAAAACAAAAAACAAAAACAAACCCTTCTAGCTGTGTGCAGGGACCCCGGAGACACAGCTGAGTTTCTCTAGAGGAGGGGGGTTGGTCCTGTTAAGGTGTGAGCGTGGAATGTCAGCAGAGGCTCCTGTGCCTGAACACTCACAGGCAGGTGGGGTGGCTGGGGAGCCAGGGTCACGGGTGGAGGCTGGGTTGAGGGGTACAGTTCTGCTCTGCTTCCTGCCATTCGCCTCTGATGTGACCAGAGCCTCAACCCCCAGTGTAGCCAAAATAAACCTTCTGTCTGGTGTTCCACCACAAGACAAGAGAAGTAACTAAGGGGTCTTGTTCCCCAGACGTCTCATTATACATATGCAAATATCCCAACCTTGGAGACGGATCTGAAACCCCAAACCAAGCATCTGCTGGAGGGACTGAAGGCTGAAGCTCAAGTCTTGCCTCCTGCCCACCACAAACATTCCGAGGCAAAGCCTTCGAAGCGGGCAGGGCGCGTCTCCTGCTGTGCGCCAGACGGTAAACATTTAAACAAATTTTTCTGAGAATGTCACACACGAATACTGTATTTACCTCATTTCTTCCAACTCCCCCGCGTGTACCCCACTACTTCCTCTCTAGCCCGTGACCTCTTCTTCTATGGTTACCGTTATGAAGTCTATACATGTATGCGTGCACATATCCATATGTATATGAATACAGCCTGCTGAGTCCATTTGCTGCTGCTCTTCTGTATATGCGTTAGAAATGATTGCTTGGGATTGGCTAACTTCTCAGGGGCTGAACCCTACAGAAGACTGATGCTTCTCTCGGCAGCCATTTAACTACCTCTAACTCTTCATCTAGAGTGAGGCCATGTGAGATCCCCCCCCCCCCCCCCCCCGCTGGACTGTCAACCTATATTACTGTCACTGTGCAGGCCGTGTGTTAGTGATGTTGTTGAGCTCTCATGGGGGCAGTTCCCCTGTTTATAAGGGAGACGCTCTGCTTCTCAGACCAGAGTTTCTGCTGCAAGGCAAAATCAGCCATGCAGAAGGCAAACGAACGGATTGCTTTCTAATCAAACTTCTTTACAAATGGGTAGCCGGGCAGACTTAGCCCACAGGCAGCAGTGTGCTAACACTAGCTTCTATAGACACATTTTAGAATGCAGATAATAGGTCTGCATTTTACAGTCTAAAGAGGCAAACTGAGGAGGGAGAGCCCACGACTCTGAGTCTCTGCTCTGTCCTCACAGTGACCCCAGCAAATCAGGAAGTCTGGCTCACTCGGAAGGAAGTCATCTGAATTCTTCTAAAAATACTCCGCAGGGCATGATATAAGGGGAGGACAGTGCCCAAGGCTGTGGAAAAGCAAAGGCACAAAGGACCATCACCTCTGGGCCACCATGCCAGCAGCCTCTCAGGCAGCTGTGACAGAATCCTGCCCTGAGGCAGTACCACAGGCAGAGTGCAGGGCCAGCTCACCAAGCACACGCCTGCAGAGCTTCCAGGAGCCCAAGTGACTACCTCAGGTCATGGGCAGCTGCTGGGAGAGACAACTGCTCAGTTTCAGGATGTGCCCGGAAAGAGGTCCAGAACTGGACAGGCAGATGTACGTTCATTCTGTGATGCAGAGCCAGCAGGAACACTGTGTACCTGTGGGCTTAGCGTCACAAGTCCCAGCAGGCCACAGCCTGTCTCCAGTCCAGGTACACAGTGGCTAAAAAAAAACCCCTCAGGACATCAGGCCAAGTGGGGCACAAGGTCAAGGGTAGTTTAAGGTGGCTATGCTGCTTTGATACATGCTGTGGGCAAATGACAGCTAAACGGTCCTACGATCTCATCGCTCCCATCGCACTGAGGCCTGCGATGTCTGTGCTAGTCACGTGTCCTTTCTGCAACAAAATACCTGTCAAAGGCAATTAAAGGAGGAAACTGTCTCTTTTGGTTCACAGTCTGAGGGTCCAGCCCATCATGGGGAGGTAATATGGCAGGAGCAGGGGGCACCTGATCACACTGCTCAGGCCCGCAGTGAGGAGTCTGTCAAAATATCAACGAGCTACCACGGGTTCCTTCTCTACAGCTAAGGGCCCAGTCCAGCCTGACTCCAGCCTGAGAGACCCTGGAGATGCCCCGGAGAGACCCCCAACTTTGGAACCCTGTTACTATAGAGTTTGATAAAAATTGTGACTTAAGCTGCTAAGTCTATGACTGTTTGCCTTGGTGCAGGGGATGAACACAGAGCATCGCACATGTTAGGCAGGCGCTCTCCCCTCAAGCTGCACACTAGCCCAAGCACACCGATTTAGACATCAGGGAACCAATCCAGAAAGTAAGAATCTGGTGCTGGCCTTTGATCTCACAGAGCGACTTCCCAGGAGAAACGCCCCACAAACAGGGCCTCCAGCCTGGCAGCATGACTGACTGCTGCTCAGGACAGGTCCTCTTATTCCACGGGGCAGGGGCAGGAGGCTGCTCTCCCAGGGTACGGAGGGCTACCAGCGTTTAGCACAACAGGTAGGTAGGTCCTGTCTCTCAGGGACAGACCGATTTTAAGGATGCCACAAAGCAAGGATCCAAAAATAGGGAGGCTTCAGATGTCCTAGGCAGGTACCTGTGGTATGGCACCCACCAGCCCAATTCGGTACCTTCTTGCGCGGCCGCAGCTTGTCCCGCCATTCCTTCAGGCTCTGGTTATGGCTCTCATCCAGGGCCTTCAACTTCTGGGTTTCATGTTCCACCAGCAGGTGACACTTTTCATTCTGGAATAGGCAGAAAAAGGGTGAAAGTGAGGAGGCAGAAGCCAGGGGAACCAGACCCCCTGCACCCTAGAGGGCACCGCAACTACCATGGGCTTATTATGCCTTAGCCATTATCCACGACTCTTCATGTGGTAATACAGTTGCAACAAGCTGCAACAAGCAATGCCTAGAGGACTATTCTAAAACACAAATGGTAATAGTTTTGAGTGGGTAAATTTACAGAAAATTTGTGACTTTCTTTTGAATGTGTGTGATGTGGGAAGTGATGTATGCTGTGAATATGTTTTATTGTCATTGGTTAATAAAGAAGCTGATTTCGGTCAATGGCTTAACAGAGGAAAACCAGGCTGAAAGAGATAGAGAGAGAGAGTAGGCAGAGTCAGAGAGACACCATGTAGCCACCCGCAGGAGACAGATGTGCTAGAACCTTGCCAGTAGCCAAGAGTCTCATAACAAAACATAAACACTACGCTGGGCGGTGGTGGTGCACGCCTTTAATCCCAGCACTAGGGAGGCAGAGGCAGGTGGATCTGAGAGCTAGTTCTAGGACAGGCTCCAAAAAAAAACCACAGAGAAACCCTGTCTCGAAAAAAATAAATAACAAAACATAAACACTAAATAATGGAAATGGGTTAATTGTAAGATATAAGAGTTAGCCAGAAATACGCTTAAGCTATTGGCTAAACAGTATTGCAAATAATACAGTTTCTAAATGATTATTTCAAGTCAGAGCAGCAGGGAACAAATGAGAGGCCTTCAACTACGTGTGTGTGTGTGTGTGTGTGTGTGTGTGTGTGTGTGTATGGTGTGTGCATGTGTGGGTATGCAGGCCATGGTGGACATGTGGAGTCACTTCTCACTTCTCCCCTTTGCATGGTTCTGGGGGTCAAACTGAGACTGTTAGGCCTGTACACAAGTGCTCTGCTCACTGAACCATCCCGCCTACCCTTCTGTGGATTTCTTCTGACACTGTCTAAGTTGTCTGTTTTTTGCAGCCTGTCCTGGAAATCCCTTCGTAGACCAGGCTGGCCTTGAACTCACAGAGATCCGGCCTCTGCCTCCCCGAGTGCTAGGATTAAAGGCATGCATCACTACTGCCTGGCTGCCATCTGTGTTTTTTAAAAAAGTTTTGGGCTGGGGCTGGAGAGATGGCTCAGTGGTTAAGAGCACTGTCTGCTCTTCCAGAGGTCTTGAGTTCAATTCCCAGCAACCACATAGTGGTTCACAACCATCTGTAATGAGATCTAGCGCCCTCCTCTGGCATGTGGGCATACATGGAGGCAGAGTGTTGTATACATAATAAATAAATGAATCTTTAAAAAAAAAAGTTTTGGGCTAGTGAGGTGACTCAGTGGGCAAAGTACCATCAACTCGGCGACCTGAGTTTGGTCCCCAGAACCCACTCTGGAAGGATGACAGAACTGGCTCCCAAAAGTCCTCTGAACCGCACATGTGTGCCAGGGCGTGCCCAAACTCACTATATATATTTGCATAAAATAAGTAAATAAATAAACTGCAGCCTGCAATTCCTGGTCTGAAGCCACCCTCCTGCTGGTACCTTTCAAGAGGCAGGACTGGGGGTGCGTGCCGCTGCAGGTGTGTGCTGCTGCAGGTGTGTGCCACTGCAGGTGTGTGCTGCTGCAGGTGCATGCCTGCACTACAGGTGCGTACCACTGCAGGTGTGTGCTGCTGCAGGTGCATGCTGCTGTAGGTGCGTGCCACTGCAGGTGTATGCTGCTACAGGTGCGTACCACTGCAGGTGTGTGCCGCTGCAGGTGCATGCCACTACAGGTGTGTGCCACTGCAGGTGTGTGCCGCTGCAGGTGCATGCCACTATAGGTGTGTGCCACTGCAGGTGTGTGCCGGCTGCAGGTGCATATCGCTGCAGGTGCATGCCACTACAGATACGTGCCACTGTTTCTAGCTACAATATTTTTTATGGCAACCCAAGCAGGCTAAATCTGTGTGTATGATTATTTACCTACAGAAATTATATGTATAATTATGCATTTGTCTAGTTATATATTGCATGACATATGTAGCTAATATATAATATCTCTTGCTTTGTGTCATTTTCTGAGGAGAGATCCCTGGCAAAGAACAAGGCGCAAAGAACAAGGCTAAAGCTAGCCCCATCTCCACAGCACGCTCTGAGGTGAGTCATCTGCTTCATAAATTTTACCTGAAATCTATCTGGTAGACAGGAGTGAGGTCCCCACTGGCTCCCTACAGGGACTCAATCTAAGGAAGGACAAGACCTTTATCCCCACACAAGGGCCCTCAGAAGGGTTTTATTTATTTATTTATTTATTTACTTATTTATTTTTGGTTTTTCGAGACAGGGTTTCTCTGTGAGTTTGGAGCCTGTCCTGGAACTAGCTCTTGTAGACCAGGCTGGTCTCGAACTCACAGAGATCTGCCTGCCTCTGCCTCCCGAGTGCTGGGATTAAAGGCATGCGCCACCACCGCCCGGCTCCTCAGAAAGGTTTTATTTTGAGCCTCAAGCTGAAAGCCTCTGGGAGTTTACAAAGTGGTCTAATCAGGAATACTTGGAGCAGCACTGTGCTGCTGTGACCGACTGTGAGAGGCATGTCAATACATGGGTCTCTCAGTCAATATTCACATAATGTCTTGAGAGAGGAATGCAAGTGCTTGACTAACGTCCACACGGAAGAGTCCCTGCCTGGCAACCTCCAAAGCTGGCCATTTCTCGGGAGCCTCCCTGCCTCTCCACAAATTTCCACCTGGGCCCAATGGCCTGAGCCACTTCCTGAAAGCCATAGAGGATGGAATCTGGGACTCATATGTCAAGAACAACAATGCCTGGATCAGCCACAAGGGGGCCCCAAGTACCAGATCCTGGACTGGGCCTTCAGATGTTCTGCTGTGGAAGTCCAGACACGGGTGCTAGGTCTGCCAAGTTCTGATGGACAAACACCTCCTGCTAGTTGATATCCCTAACACCAGGGGCCAAACACCAGGGGGAACCCAAAGCCAGGATTCCCGCACAAGCAAAGGAACTGCACAGCAGCTCAGACCCCAGAGTGTAAGGCACTTTCAGCTCCATCACCCCAAGTCTACACAGCAATCCTGCCACACTGGAGTCATTGCCTCCACCCAACGGCTATTTTAGAGGAGGCGTGTCTGCGAGGGTCGTACAACTTATCCCATAACAGACGGAGCAGTACGGCAGGCTGGAATCGGCGCACCTGGGCCTGCCTGCCGAGGATGTGGCCCTGCTGTGGAGCCCTTGGGGAAGCTGAGGCACGGGGCTGATTACCTGCAGCTGCTGCAGCTCGCTCATGTTGCTCTCGCACTGGGCCACCATGTCCCGCATCTGGTTCTCGTGTTTCTGCTGCTGCTGCAGCCTCTCGGCCTTCTGCCTCTTCTCCTCCTGCTGGGAGAACTGCAGAGAGAGGAGGGTACCATGGGTGCTCGCCCGGGTGGCTGGGTGGGGGCTTCGCCAGCCTCTGCCTGAGTCAGTGAGGCCCCTCCCAGGGACTGGGCAGCAATGCTCAGAGCCCAGCCTACCTCAGGCTATGCTCTCACTATTGAAACTCCTGTCCCGAGTGGAGACCCAGCCTCTGTCCCCACACCGGTAGGGACCAGACAAGGTGAGGTGACACGTGCTAGGACAGTTTACACAGACATCACAGGGGCCTACGTCAAACAGAAAACACAAAAGGAGGCTCTTGGGTGAGAACAGAGAACACCATGCACATAAAAGCATGGGATCGGGACTGGAGAGATGGCTTAGTGGTTAAGAGCATTGGCTGCTCTTCCAGAGGACCCAAGTTCAATTCCCAGCACCCACATGGCATCTCACAACTGTCTATAACTCCAGTTCCAGGTAATCTGTCACCCTCACAGACATGCATGCAAAACACCAATGCACATAAAATAAAAATAAATATTAAAAAAAAGTGTGGAATCATGAAAAGCACCCGTACATGACAAGTGTCAAAAGCGGATCTGTCTGTTCACCAGGGAGGAGTCTCCTGGGCTTCTGAAGCTCCCAGGCCCTGACTGACTTACACGTCCCCTCCCAGGACCCTGTCCTTCCATGGCCTTACCAGGTCTTACAGGGTCCCTCCGTGACCACTCCCCACAGCCTACCGGGTGCAGCCCCCACCTGCTTGATCTTCTCGCGCTGCTCGGAGGCACTGCCCGCGCCATTGATGTGCAGGCTCTTCTTGTACATGGCCATGCGTGTCTTGCCGTCGCTCCTCTGGATCTTGGGGAGCCGCGCCTTCTCCTGCTGCTGTCTAATCTTCAGCTGCTCCATCATACGCTGGTTGTAGCGCTGCATCTGCTCCCGTTCCTGGAGGGACACCAGGCAGAGGTCAGGGGAACGCTAGGCACAGAGGGTGCTTCGGAGCCAAAGGTCACCTCAGCACAGGAGCCAGGGAGTCAGAGCAGCACAGCTGACAGTTCGTGTCTACGGTTCAACACTATCTGTTCTTTAAATTTCTTTCTTTTTACGTTTACTTATTTTATTTATTTTTTTTCGAGACAGAGTTCCTCTGTAGCTTTAGAGCCTGTCCTGGAACTAGCTCTTGCAGACCAGGCTAGACATTTACTTATTTTATTGGGTGGGAGCAGGTTAAAAATGAGCATGGTCCTCACAAGACAAGTTTCAGGAATCAGCCCCCTTTTTCCACTATGAAGGTTCTGGGAATTGAACTCAGGTCATCAGGCTTGGTGGCAAGCTCCCTTATCCACGAAGTCATTTCACCAGCCCTGGTTTTTCTGTTGTTGCTGCTGTTGTTCTTTTAACATTACAGCGTACCCAACTACTGATGGTTTGACCCACATAAAAACAGTGCCACTCAGCTGAGCCCAATTCTGAATTTTCCTGGGCGAACAAAATCTAGTTCAGTATTCTGGATACTGGGCAGTGGCAGCGAGCTCACATGTCCCTGAGGGGACATACCCCACACTGGGCTGCCTCAGAGCCGGGCTAAGCAAGGCAGCCCAAGGCGGCTTGTTGTCTTCAACTCAGGATGGGTGCTGGGGATAGAAACCCTCTACAAGTCAATAAGCATCACCCTCTCTGTTCTTTCTCTTTTTGAAGGGTGGAGGTGGCGCAGTTTCAAGCAGCCCAGGACTGGTTTTGAACCGACAGAGCCCAGCACTGAGGCATTGAGGTGAGCAGAGGAGCCGTCTGTATCATCTGTGGCCCTTATACAACTAACTTGATTTCTGCCCCTCAAGCAGGGCACCCAGGAGACGGTCACAGCAGCCCCTCCAGGGTGCCGTCATGGCGCTGCCCCGCATCCCACCCCAGCCTCACCTTCTCGTGCTTGCGCAGCAGGTCATGCCGCTGCAGGAAGTACTGGTCCTTAAGCTGCTGCTTCACCAGTTGATGCCGCTCCTGCAACTGGTGTTCCTCCATCTCCCACAGGGCTGCCTCACGCTCTGTGGAGGACACGCCACCCGCACGGTAAGGGATGGACGGGGCCAGAGACCAGACAGATCTCCTGCCCCCTCCCCACCCCATCAGGCTCCTGCTGAGACTGAAGACCAACCCGGTGCTGGGCTCAGAGGAATGGGCACCTAGGCTACCTCATTACCACCTGGCTGATCTGAGTGGAGCAGAGGAAACTAAGAGATGATGAGCCCCCGCAGCCTGGGAGCTCAGGAGCTGCGGCAGGTCAGCAGGCAGGGAGCAGCTGGAGCTGGGACAGAGGCCCCAGCTTCCTCCTCTACCAAATGGCACAAGCATACCCTGAAGAGGAAATGTTCTCCACAGACACTGTTAAGGAAAATCTACATTAACGCCCCTTCTTTTCCGCTGGGCAAAGGAGAAGGGCTCTAAGGGAGAACCTGTGTGGAGATGATGCGGATGCGGGTGAGACCGTCCCGTGAGGAAGCAGATCCTCAGAGGGCACTGATCTGCTGGATCCTTGGGCTTCCTTGCCTTTCTGTTGCTTCTAAGCCATTTGGGCTTGGGATTCACTTGGAGTAGCGTCAACAGATCAAGGTGCATAGAACCCTCCTCAGGGCGGATCCCTCCCTACACGGTAGGCTCAGAGTGGGAGCTACAGGCCAGGACAGCATGAGGTCGGGGTGAAAACTGACGAGCACACAGTGGGGCCAGCGGCAGTCACACAAGCTGCTGCTTCCGTGTGCTGTGGTCACGGCTTCCCAGGGGCCAGGGGAGGGAGGGTTGCCTCTACTTCAGTCATCCCGAGTGACTCTGGGCCCCACCTCGGAGGAGCTCCTGCTTCTTGCTGAGGCACTCTCGCTCCTTGTCACAGATCTCATGCCTGTTTTCTATGGTGAGCTTCTTCATGGCCAGCTCCAGGTCCTCCTTCTGCTTGGCTACAAAGTCTCGGTCCTGAGGGAAGGACAATGAGACTTGGGTAACTTAGCGCATGCACACACGCTCTCTCTCACTGTGAAGATGAGGGCCTGTCTGCCTCTCTCACCAGCCTTGGTTGGTTTGTTTAAACTGTTTATTACATGTGTTTGAGTGCTGACTGGCATGTGTGTGTATGTACCACAAGTGCCTGCGGAGGCCAGAAGAGGGCCCCAAGTCTCCTGGAACTGGAGTTACAGATGTCCGCAGGCTGCACAATATGTGTGCCAACCCAGATCTCCAGCAGAAGCAGAAAATGCTCTCTGCTGAGTCATCTCTCCAGCACCAAGCCCTGTGCTTAAAAAAGTTATCTGCTTATAATAATTGTGAAGGTGTGGGCTGGAGAGATGGCTCAGAGGTTAAGAGCACTGACTGCTCCTCCAGAGGTCCCGAGTTCAATTCTCAGTAACCACATGGTGGCTCACAACCATCTATGATGAGATCTGGCGCCCTCTTCTGGCCTACAGGCAAACATACACTGTATACATAAGAAATAAATAAAATCTTTATAAAAAAATTATTGCACGGATGCAGTGTGCTGTTTCAGGACATGTGTGCCTGTGTACTGAGGAGTTTGGGGGAATTTGTATGTCCAACACCTCAGATAGTTATCATTCCTTTCTGTAAAACATTGAAGATCCTCTTCTCGCTGTATTGAAAATACATTATTATTGGGTAGGGTCATCCTTTTCTGTGCTACTACCGAACACAAAATTCCATTTCTTCATTTGGTTAGAAAGAGACAGGTTGTGAGGGACACTGAAAAGACTGGAAATCTGGAGTCAGGTCAAGTACTAGACTTTGCCCCACTGCCCTCAACTCTGCAGCATCTCCTTTCTGAGCTTTGTTTCTTCTGCAAATGGAAAACCAAAGAGCTTCTACCCCAAGGTACCACAAACACTTGACCAGATCGTATGTCAAGCATCTGCGAACATGGGCTACAACTGCTTGCACCCAGGGCTCAGGAGGCAGAATGTCCAAAGATCCCACAGTGGAGAAAGCAGGAGCATTCCAGCAAGGGGTGAGAGGCTGGACCGAGAGTAGGGTCAAGCTGGGAGGGGCCGGGAGGGCCAGGCAGCAGCAGGCACAGCGAGGAAGGCCTCAGCTCATGGACAAAGGGAGAAGGTTTTAAGCTGAGGGGAAAAAGGGTGACAGGGTCAGATTTATATTTCATACCGACAATACCCGCTAGTGCAAGAGAAAGAAGAAGCGCAAGAAAGCAAGAGGAAGCAGGGAGGATAGCTGGGAGCTGGGAGAGCTGTAACAACGGTGGGGATCCAGCAACATTGCCAGATACACGGGTCCAAAGATGGGAGAAATATGGATGGATGGATGGATGGATGGATGGATGAGTGGGTGGGTGGAAATATGTATGTGTCTGTGTATGTGTGGTGTATGTTTAGTATATATGTGCTCTAGAGCTTTGCATTGGTATGGTATTGGTTTACTGATACAAATTTAAGGTCAATTTTATTATACTGTGTATATGTATTTCTGATCTTGATTAAAGTACTGTGTTTGTGCAGCATATTTAAAAATATAATGTATAATTAAGAAATATAGGTTAATAGATAGTCATCCATGATAGTCAAGCTAACATGTAGTCATGTTAGTTAGGTTTTCTAGATGTAGAGATATATTTCAGATGGATAGGCATTCTTCAAGCCTTTCAAAGACAATGCACCTCCTGTTTACTTAGGTAATATTGTATTCTTCTGGAGTCTTTATTATAGTTTTCCTTAGTTATAATAAAAGATAAAGTAGATATAAATATTGTAAATATAATCCTTGTTTGATAACTGTTTTATGTAATTTAACTGTGTTAAAGTTAAAACCTTCCTTTTTATTTAAACAGAAAAAAGGAGGTGATGTGGGATTCCCCTCTGTATGCTGTGATTACCATTGGTTAATAAAGGACTGCTTTGAGCCTATAGCAGAGCAGGGCAGAAAGAGCTAGGTGGGGAAAACTAAAGTAAATGCAGAGAGAAAGAAGGGTGGAGTCAGAGAGAAGCCATGCAGCCCTGCCAGAGACCAACTCCGAAACTTTAGCTGGTAAGCCACAGCCACGTGGCGATACACAGTTTAATAGAAATGGGTTATGTATGAATTAACCAATAAGAATCTACAGATAATGAGCCAAGCAGTGATTTAATTAATACAGTTTCTGTGTAATTATTTCGGGGCTAAGTAGCCAGGAACCAATTAGTGGCCCCCTTCTACATATATGTATGTTGCATGGTATGTGTTGGGACATGTGTGTGTTGTGTGTTTATACAGTGTATTATATGTGTGGGGAGCATGTGTCATGTGTGCGTGCATGTGTGTGTATGTGTGTCAGGAGGTGATGGAGAAGTGGAGGGAAAGGATGGGTCAGGAACAAAAGTTCTGGCCCCAAAACAGGACAGGGACAAGTTCCTCCTCAGGACATAATAACAGAGTTAGGTCTGAAGACTTTGATGTCCTTTAGATACCAAGTAGGCAGGTGACTGATCTTGGTTAACAGGTGATGAGACATATAAACAAGTTGCAGTAAGGTAGGCTGGACTAAAGTGCAGGCTGCATTGGCCAGAGACACCAGGGCTCACTCTTGGGGTGCAAGGACGATCAGGGAGGATAACCACGGGGCCAATGAATGATGGGCTAGATTTAGGTATTCAAAACAGGAGGTGGATATTGAAGCAGCAAGCCTGGGCAAGTTAAGGGGGGAAGGATTTGGGTCCCTGCTTCATGACTGTGGCCAAGTGACCAAGTCTGGGGACTCACAAGTAGCTGCTTCTTCTGTGAGTGTTCCTCCATCTTCTGCTTCATGCTCTCTTTCCGCTGCTGCCGGGGCAGTTTCTCAACCTCATTCTTCACCTGTAGCAAACATGGCAGAAGTCACCTTACACCAGGACCTTCCCATAATGGACACACTGCAGGCATGGCAGAGGTCACCTTATACCAGGACCCTTCCTATTCTGGAGCACTGTGAGTTTTGGTCACGCCTGACCCATGAAGTATCTATTGCACAGATACACTGTCAATACCTAGGGTCTGTTTCTGTGTGAGCCCTGTTCCTCTGCTGACTGTAGTCTCTAAGGTGCAGGTGGTAGACTCCCTCCAGCCTTACAGAGCCTCTAGGCTGGCACGGGATCCAACACTGTTGATCTGATCAACACCATCAATCTGAACAAGATTGACAATCTGAACAACACTGTCAACCTGAACAGCACTGTCATACAACACTCTACCCAGAACACAGAAGCATGCATGGAATATTTACTAACAGTTTTTTTGTTTGTTTTTTGAGACAGGGTTTCTCTGTAGCCTTTGGAGCCTGTCCTGGAACTAGCTCTTGTAGACCAGGCTGGCCTCAAACTCACAGAGATCCGCTTGTCTCTGCCACCACTGCCCAGCCTTTGCTAACAGTTCATAAAAAGAATCTTTTTTTTTTTTTTTTTTTTTTTTGATTTTTTAAAGACAGGGTTTCTCTGTAGCTTTGGTGCCTGTCCCGGAACTAGCTCTTGTAGACCACGCTGGCCCCGAACTCCCAGAGATCCGCCTGCCTCTGCCTCCCAAGTGCTGGGATTAAAGGAGTGCGCCACCACCGCCCGGCTCATAAAAAGAATCTTAAAGTTTTAAAAATTTCATAGCAAAATTGTAAGCAGCCCACAGGTCAATGAGGAAGTTGCAGAGTATATTAGAAAAGAATTTGAGTCAGGCCCTGGTGGCACATGCCTTTTATCCCAGCACTCAGGAGACAGAGGCAGGCAGATCTCTGTGAGTTCAAGGCCAGCCTGGTCTACGAGAGCTAGTTCCAGGACTGGCTCCAGCCCTATCTCAAAACAAAACCCTATCTCAAAACAAAACAAAACAAACAAACAAACAAAAAACACAAGAATTTGAACTGAATGAAAATGAAAATGTGGCCCGTCCAAGTTTCTAGGATGAAGTTAGTGCATAGAGGAAAATTTCAAGCATTAATCCTCAGAAAAAGAAGAAAGTCTCCAGTCAATTATCTAAGCTTCCACAGTGATTTTACAGCAATAAAAGCAATTTAAATCTAAACCAAATGCAAAAGCAGAAACCAATAACAATAAAAACAGAAAAAAAAAACAGTGAAAATTAGGGCTGAGTAGTGGAGAGTATTTGTCTTATATACACATGGGTCTAGAGTCCCACCCTTCATAATCACAAAATTAAAAAGAAATTAAAGAAAGAATGAATATCAATGAAACAAAGAGCGGCCTCTTTGAAGAGGTCAGTAGAACTGGTTCAGTCATTGTAGAGGAAGGAAGAACAGTGGAGGGAGGGGATGGGACGGTAGGGGAAAGGCGAGAAAGGGAGAACGGGAGAAGAGAGACATCCATGGACGGAGAGCATCAGTGTAGATCCTACAGGCCAAGGAGATGCTAAGAGCGAATTACCAACAGCAATCAGATCCTGTAACAACAGACAAATGCCTGGAACGATAGAAAGTACCAAAACTAATTCAAGAAAAAGTAGCTACCTTACACAGGCATCATAAGAAAACCATAGACCGGGCTGGAGAGATGGCTCAGAGGTTAAGAGCACTGACTGCTCTTCCAGAGGTCCTGAGTTCAATTCCCAGCAACCACATAGTGGTTCACAACCATCTGTAATGATATTTGGTGCCCTCTTCTGGCCTGCAGCCATACGTGCAGACAGAACACTATATACATAATAAATAAATAAAAAAAAAGAAAGAAAACCATAGACCAATGTCCTTATTCACAAAGATTCAAAATTCCTTTATAAAACACTGGCAAATGGAATCTTATAATGTATAAAAAGAATAATAGATAATGACCAAATGAGGGTTTTTTGTTTTGTGTTTTTATAATTTATTTGTTTGATTTATGTATATGGATGTTTTGTCTGCATGTATATCTGTACATGCCTGGCCATAAGAAGGTGTTGGATCCCTTGGGACTGAAGCTATGGATGGTTGTGAGCTGCCATGTGAGTGCTAGGAATTGAATTCAGGCCCACTGGAAGAACAGCCTGTGCTCTTAACCTCTGAGGCATCTAGAGATCCAGGCCTCTGCTTTGGTTTTGTTTTTTTTTTCTTTGCTTGTTTGGTTTTGTTTGTTTGGCTGGTTTTTCATTTTTCTTTTTCTTTCTTTTTGATTTTTTTGAGACAGAGTTTCTCAGTAGCTAAGGAACCAGTCCTGGAACTTGCTCTGTAGACCAGGCTGACCTTGAACTCATAGAGATCCTCCGGCCTCTGCCCCTCAAATGCTGGGATTAAAGGTGTGCGCCACCATGTCCAGAGGCTTTTTTTTTTTTAATATTTATTTATTTATTATATTATGTGAATAGCATTCCTTCCACGTGTGCCTGTAAGCCAGAAGGGGGCGCCAGGTCTCATTATAAATGGCTGTAAGCCACCATGTGGTTGCTGGGAATTGAACTCAGGACCTCTGGAAGAGCAGTCAGTGCTCTTAACCTCTGAGCCATCTCTCCAGCCCCCTCCAGAGGCTTTTTAAAGTCAGTATCTCACCATGTAACTCTGTCTGGCTTGGAACTTGCTATGTAGACCAGGCTGGCCTCAAACTCATGTAAGACTTTAAGACAATCCTGAAGCCATTTTTGACAATTCTGAATCCTCTCAGCCTCTGTGCCATAGTGCTTCCCCTCCTCCCCTGCCTCCCCTGGGAACCAAGGACCTAACAGCTATACTCGCACGTACTCAGTTCCTGAACAATTACCCATATACATATGCTTTGGTTCGGTCCCCTGGGAAACGGGGTCAAAATGACCTCTTACCTCATCTGATCTGGCAACAGCTCTCCAGTCAATTATTGGTAATAGCCCTTTCAAATAAGCCAATCAGAATAGTCAAAGAACAACCCCCCTTGCTTCTGTGGCCCCTTTAAAAGTAGACTGTACCCGCTATTCGAGGTCCCTAGGCTTCCCGAATGCTGGGGGAACCTGTCATGACAGAATTAATAAAATCCTCATGCTTTTGCATCGGCTGTGGTGTGTGGTCTCTGGGGGCGACTCCTTCTCGGTGTTTGGACGCCAGAGTCCAACACTCAGAAGAGATTCACCTTTCTCTGTCTCATGAGTGCTGGGATTAAAGGTATATGCCACCCAACCTGGGTATAACCAAATGTGTCTTATACAAAGAATGTAAAGATAGATTAATATTTGAAAATAAAATAATTTGTTTCAACAAACTACAGAAGAAAAAATATATATAAAATTATGTCAACTGAGTCATACAAAAAATTAAAATATTCAATATTCCTTCATGATAAAATCTATTCATAAACTCTTAGAGTTTCATTAGCTTGGCCTGAAAGCCATCTATGAAAACAAGACAAAGTCAGGGATGGGGCTGCAGGCCTTTAATGCAGCACTCAGAAGGCAGAGGCAGGCACAGGGGCCAGGGCAGGAAGAGCTCTGAGTTCAAAGCCAGTCTGTTCTACACAGCCTGTTCTAAGATGGCCAGAGTTATTTCGTAAAATCCTGTCTTAAAAAAATAATAATCAGAATCAAATCAATGCTCTGTTACTAACATCAGACTTAATGAGGAAATAATATTGAGTGTGTTCCTTCTGAGACTGGGAACAAGGAGAAAGGACGTCTACTCTACTGTTTCTAGCTAACTTCCTGCTGGAACCTGAGCCAGCACGCCAGAGCAGTAAGAGGCGTATCAATTGGAAAGAAGAAATTAAACTGTTTCTGTCTATACAGAAAACCTCAAGGAACCTACCAAAGAAAAAAAATACCAGGATAACATAGTAAGGCTAGATACAAGACTATTGCACAAACAGCAATACATCCCCATACTCTCATAGCTAAACTGATACCTTAATTTTTATTTTATGTATATCTGTGTACCACATGTTTCTGGTGCCCACAAAGGCCAGAAAAACGAACTGGGGTTCCCCAGAACTGGAGTTACAGACAGTTGTGTGCTACCATGTGGGTTCTGGGAACTGACCCTGGGTCAACCCAAGAAAACACAAGTGTATAAAATGCCTGTGGATAGAAGTCTCAGAGTTGTTCTGATGGCCATTCCACCCAAACTGACCCAGTCTGAGTTGTGGCAGGCTTCTCTCCAGGATCAGCTGATGCTGTGATGGGTGTGAAAGGGCAAAGGGAGGAACTGCCAACTACAGGAGGGTCCCAGACACTGGAGTGAACACTGGTGAGAGACAGACAGAGGAACCTGTATGACATACAGACCCAAAATGCACCACACCAGATCCGCTTATATATGCTCGACTCCTTTTCCACAAAGGCAACTTAGCAGAGGAAGGTGAGCATTTTCAACATAAACACTGGGGCAGACATCCCTAGCCAAACCCATTCACACCCAACCCAGACATCTCTAACCAAACCCATTCACACCTCATCCAGTCATTCCTAGCCAAACTTATTCACACCTCATCCAGTCATTCCCTAACCAAACCCATTCACACCAAACCCATTCACACCTCATCCAGTCATCCCTAACCAAATCCATTCACACCCCACCCAGACATCTCTAAACAAACTAATTCATACCCCATCCAGACATCTCTAAGCAAACCCATTCACACTCATCCAGATATCTCTAACCAAACCCATTCACACCCCATCCACACATCCCTAGCCAAACCCATTCACACCTCATCCATCCAGATATCTCTAGCCAAACCCATTCACATCTCACCCTTTACAGAATCCAACTCAAAATGTCCTCACATAGAAACAGAAAACCAAATGTGGCAAACTGCTGAAAGACTGCATCCCATGGGGTTGGGGAAGGATTCCCTGGTTTCTTAGATAAGCCCCTAAAAGAATCACGCGGAAAGAAAACAAGACACTATTAGGAGCACTATAAGACAAGGCATGGGAAGAAAAGAAACACAGCAAAATAATACCTCACAAAGTACTGGCAGTCCAAATATAAAGAGAACGTCAGATTTCACTAAAAAGAAACCAATCTCCCAGCTAAATAAAGGAGCAAGAGATTTTTGAGCAGACCCATCACCAAAAGTGACATACGGTGACAAAGAAGCAAATGCAAAGACACATGTCACTGGTCATCAGAGAAATGAAAACTCAAAGTCACAGTGAAATGCCACTTCACACCCATCAGCGTGGCTAAAATAAAACAGTAAAGTCGCTAAGACCAAGTGTTGGGGAAAAGGAGCCACCAGACCGCTCCTGTTGCTGGAGACAGAACGGATCCGGAGCGTCTGGAGGAGCATGGCAGCCTCGACGTGTGCTTTCCACTTGACTCCCGAAGTCCACCAGCCTAGCCTGTCTCACCCTCTCTTCTAATTCCTAGGCTTTTATAAAATGCTCTCAGGTTTTGTTGGCTAAGTCTGGTACCATGTTTTCTGGCCTCTCTGCTTTACATGGATTTCCCATCTGCGGCATGACTGACTCTGGGGACCTGAGAGAGAACAGGCTGTCCTATGTATTTACAGGATGTCAGCAGTATTCCTGGTTGTGAGATCAACAGACTAATTCACTCCATCCCCAAGCTGTGACACGCCCCCAGATGTTTGTAGACATGGCCAACGTCTCAGAGAGCCAGGGACAGAAGACTCATAGTTGATAGGCACAGGCTTAAGTAAAATTCCTAAATGAATAGTGTATCTGTGCACCGTGGCCTCTGTGTCAGTATGGTGCCCTGTCCCAGCTCAGTGACCATGAGAGCTATCACAGACTTAGAACTGTGCTTTTACAAGCTGACTGCTTTGGTCCAGGGGACAGATTAAAGCAGCAATAGACAGAGAGCCCAGGTTCTGAGTTCTCTGTTAAAAACATGGAAGACACAAGCAACAAACACTCTTACATCTGGTGACAGAGGGAGGAGGCAGAAGAGGAGTAAAAGCAGAGTCCTGTGGGGCCACTCATCAGAGAAGCAGACCCAAGGCCTCACGGGACCCTTTTCGGGCCAGCACTGCTCTCTGGCAGAGCTGTGCGATGAATGGCAGGCCTGGCAGGGCGGGGAGAGAGCTGAGCGAGTTCCACCAGGTGGCAGATAAGCTGCATTCCCGGGCAGTGACGTCCTTGAAGTTACTGAATGTCTCAGCACCTCTTTTTTCCCACCAGAAAACAATCTAGCTTTTAACTAAGAAGCCCCCAGGGTTCCTTCCAGGGATATGGCATGCAGGGCTAGGGAACTCTGAACCATTTAATAAGCTCAGCTTCACGACAGGGACACACTCTGAGGAACAAGTCATTACATAATTTCATCAGCATGCAAACTGAGTAAACCTTGGGAAACCTAATGAACCGACTTTCCCCTCGCCATAGCTCCCGGTACAGTACAGCGACCATCTGCACGGAAGTTACGCTGCAAGGGAAACCATGAATGACCTAGAGGTGACTGAAGGCACTCAGAAAGTGTGTGCGGGTTATACACCACTGTGTAAATGCAGGAGCCTTAAACCCGGGGGTGCCACCGAGTGAGTCAGTGAGGAACATCTATACGGTTCACCGGACTCGGGACTGGAACCCCAAGAGTTCTGGAAAGAGAGTAAACGTGAGCCTACAATGAGCTGCTGAGCAGAGGGCTATCCTCAGACCACAGCAATCAAGCCTGGAAGAATAGCCCCAGGGACACTAAATGCAGTGTCCTCCGGAGAAGCTGAAAGGACACAGATGTCAAGCTTCTTCTTCCCGTGAAAACTTTCAAACAAAACAACCAAGGAGGGGGGAAAACCATGTCAAACTAAACCGGGAACTTTGGTGTGACTGAGTGGTAGGGAACCTGCATAGCACACACAAGGGGCTTTCCCGGGGGAGGGAGGGAGACATCTCAGCCCTGTCTGTGCACAGGGCATCTGGGGCTCAAGTGCGGCCCATACCTCCCCATGTTGGGGAAGCTAAGGGCTGGAACACCCTTCTGTAGACTCCCAGGAGGAAGGAGGTGAATAAGCAGACAGCAGCACCCAGCACCGGGTACGAAGTCCCCAGCAGAGCACAGTCTGCCAGGCTATGGCTCTGGGAATCCGGGTCATGTCATCTCAGGGCCATGCATGTCCTTGCCTCCCACTTCCAACTGAGGGAGGAGAAGGACAACCAAAAGAGGGCGGAGCACAGGGGACAGCATCTGCTGGGCTTCTCCTGCATTGCCTCCCCTTGTGGGAAAAGCACCTCAAGCTTTAGAGGCCACCATCTCTTTCATCTTTCCTGCTCTCTTTCATCTAAGCGGATGTGAAAGAAGTTAACAGAAGCCACTCAGGAAGGACAAGACAGGAAGGTGGCATCCAAAAGGCAGAGAAAGGACTAAAGTGTCATTGCTTTGTGGCTGGGACACCAGGATCCCAGTGGGGCTGCTCCCAAGATCTTGGGGTAATTGGCTCCATACAGCCCCTCTGTTAGGAAAGGAGGCCGTGCTGGCTATTTTTATATCAACTTGATACAAGATAGAGTCATCTGAGAACCTCAATTGAGAAAATGCCCTCATAAGACAGGCCTGTGGGACATTTTCCTGACTGACGATTGATGGGGAGGGCCTGGCCCATTGTGCATGGGGCCACCCCGAGGCTGGTGGTCCTGGGTTCTATAAGGAAGCAGGCTGAGCAAGCCATGATGAGCAAACCAGTAAGCAGACCCTTCCATGGCCTCTGCACCAGCTTCTGCCTCCAGGTTCCTGCCTTGTCCTCCCGATGATGGACTGGGCAGGAGAAGTGTTAACTGAAACAAACCCCTCCTTCCCAAACTGCTTCTGGCCTCGGTGTTGTATCAGAGAAATAGAGGCCCTAACTAAGACGAGGCCAATCCTCAGAGCAGAGGCCCCGCCCCATCCCGCCCCCCAGAGTCCCATCACCTCCTTCTTCATCTGCTTGAGCTGCTCCTGGAACTTGGCATAGTCTCGATCCTGCTCCAGGCGAATCCTCTTGGCTTCCTCCCTCCGGCGCACACTGTGATCCTGCTCCATCTTCTCCACCTGCTGCTTCTGCTGCCGCTCCAGGTTCTCCAGCTCCATATCAAAGTGTTTCTTCTTGGCCTGGAAGGTGCACAGACTCAGAGGCATCCAGCAGAACTGCCTTATACCTCAGAGTCATACCTCAGAGTCTGTATTAGACTCAGATGTGAGCCCCGGCCCTGCCACCCTTTGCTGTGTGCCCCAGGGCAAGTTCTTTTTTTTTTTTTTTTTTTTTTTTTTTTTTTTTGTAGACCAGGCTGGCCTCGAACTCACAGAGATCCACCTGCCTCTGCCTTCTAAGTGCTGAGATTGAACCAGCCCAGGGCAAGTTTTTAACCTCTCTGAGTTGTTTCCTTGTGTGGCCTGGCAGGACAGTGGCATGGCAGTCCACCTCTAAGGGTGTCCCTGTGCAACTGGGGGTCACTGTGACCCGACCACCCCCTCCGACAACACCTTCACCTGAAGAGAACATGGAGGCCAGGAGCCCCGGGGCCTGTCTCCTCCCCTCACTCACGTTGATTTCTTGTTCAAAACGTTTGTGCATTTGCTCCAGCTGCATCTCATGTTTGCTGTTCAGCTGCGTCTGGTTCCGATGCTCTTCCTTCTGCAGAAGCCGAAGCTCTCGGAGTTCCTGGCGCCTGCAGATGAGCAGACAAACATTTCCTAGTGAGAAGGGCGCCTCTGAGACCACAGTCAGGGTCACAAAGGGATGGGTTGTGGAGTAGAATCCCACTGACTGAAGCAGAGACACAGTCAGGATTCAGGCTTCATTTGATATACTGAGCGATAACAAGGTGAGCATCCTCCATGTATAAAGAGCATTTACAGGTCTGGAGAGATGGCTCAGGGGTTAAGAGCACTGACTGCTCTTCCAGAGGTCCTGAGTTCAATTCCCAGCAACCACATGGTAGCTCACAGCCATCATAATGAGATCTGGCGTCCTCTTCTGGCGTGTGGTTATACATGGAAGGAATGCTGTCTACATAATAAATAAATAAATCTTTAACATTTACAAATCAGTAAGGAGGAAGGAACTAACCACCAACCCCACAAGTGGTACACAACATCGTAATATGAAAAGACATAAAGCAAATGAGTATAAAATTAAGAAGAAACTTTAAAATTATTTATATGATAAGAAATACAAATATAAAAGAAAAAGCATTTCATTAAACAGACAGGCATGTAGGGGAATTCATACTCCATGTGTTACTGATATAAATTAGCAGAACATTTTGAAAGATACTGGCAATACCTTGATATCTTTTGGTACCCTACTCTCACTTCTGGATTGGATGAGGATGTTTGTAACAACGTCATTTGTCCTGGCATTCCATACTGAAGTCCTTTTCTCTAAGATCCTGATACAAATCCAGGTCACCCACCAGGGCCTCAGCAACTGCAGATTCCCTCGGCACTCCTCCAGTGCTGGGATTCATCTCATCTGTCAAGTTCAGCTCAGGGTGATGGTAATGGTCCCTACGAGCAATCTCTGCTCAGCCCAGGCACTCACAGCTGTATTAACCATTCCTTCCTTCGCAGTGTGCAGCACAATCAAGAATTAGCTTGTATACCATGTCTGGAACCCATAGGTATAAACTCGATGTGGGGGATAGCTTCGTGTATCTGGACTTCCATTTGGACCTAAGTGGTAGGTGATGCCTGAGTCAATAATTGGGTGGATGTATGGAGAGATGAATGGCAAGCGAATAGGTGGGTGGATTAAATGGGTGAATAGACAGATAGATGGGTAGACGAGTATAGATAAGAGTAGGGGGGTGAACAGATGGATGAGTGGGTAGATGGATGGATGAGTGGATGGATGGATGGATGGATGAATAGATGGATGGATGGATGGATGAATAGATGGATGGATGGATGGATGGATGAGTGGGTAGATGGATGGATGAGTGGGTAGATGGATGGATGAGTGGGTGGGTATATGGATGGATGGATGGATGGATGGATGGATGAATAGATGGATGGATGGATGGATAGATGGATGGATAAGTGGATGGATGGATGAATAGATGGATGGATGGATGGATGGATGGATGGATGGATGGATGGATGGGTGGATGGATGGATGGGTGGGTGGGTGGATGGATGGATGGATGGATGGATGGATGGATGGATGGATGGATGGATGGATGGATGGGAATTAGGTAAGACAGAGAAGTACAGACATGGATATGCAGATAGATTTGGGTAGATGGGTCACTGGGCATGTGTGAGTGGATGGACAAAAGAGATGGGTGACAGATAGGTAGATGTGTGGATAGATGAATGCAGGAGAAGGGGTGTCAAGTAAAACCACGTTCCTTTTGCCTCAACCCCCACTTCACACTGGAGACAGGCCCAATACCCAGCATCCTCAGGGCACCTCCACCGGTTCCCACACTGGTGCCTCCCCAGACTTGCCTGAGAAATCTCATCTCCTCGTCTTTCTTCTCATCTTCGCTGATGATCTTGGAGGTGGTGATGCTCACCTCCACACCGTCCACCACAAACCTGCGGGTCCGCTTAAGGGTCTTGTTGTGCAGTTTTGAGCCCTGGCAAGGAGAACGTGACCAAGCTCAGCTAGAAATCCACGGTGGAGACAGGGTGAGGTCCACAGCCTGAGCCCAGGAAGGATGAAGCCATCCACAGTGCCCCGTCCTCCAGCTTCCTAAACAGGATCTAAGCGTCTGGCCTTAGACCCCCTGGCTTCTGCTGGTCTCGGCTTCAGACACCATGCAAGGCTCTTACCTCACCGAGGCATTCTTACAAAACACTATCTCAACATCCAAAAGGGCTGTTTTCATCCTCACAGAACACTGCTGGCTTTGTGACCCTGGACAAGACTCTGGGCTTGCCTGAATCTCAGCCTTCTACACTGTCCATGGAGTGTCAAAACAGAACTTGCCTCTTTGGGTGGTCATGCAGATTTGATGAGAAACACATGGGGTACATAAGGCATGGCATTTACTTCTGTCAGTCATGACCACAGAGCACAGTCCATATTAGATTTGGTGGCCTCAGTTAGCCAGCGAAGTTCTATAAAGTCTGCTTAGGGAGGACCTGGCCCTGGAAGGTGTCGTGGAGGAAGTGCTCGATTCTGATTCAGATGAGGGCTTAGGGGTCTACAGTGGTTATCTGATGGCCTCTGTCCTACCCACTGCCTCAAACTCCTGAAATCCTTCCTCCTAGAACACAGCCCTGCCTCTCTATCATGGCCCATGGGCCTCCCACCCCCTTCAAGAGGAGTGGGCACACCAGGGTGGCTAAGAGTTGGCACCTCACACTGTATGCTGTTGCCCAGAACACTTTACCTGGGCTCTGGGCACTCAGAGCCTTCTTTTTTAAACGGTGCTGGGGATTGAACCCAGGGCCATGTGCACCCTACCATCAAGGGTGGTACCTACATCTCCAGCCCCACTTAGTGCCCTTTTAGGAGGAAGAAGTACAGGATGATACTTCTTCATAAAAGCCGCTGGCCACAGCTGGACAACTATGGTGAACAACAATCTGTGTCAGTTCTGAAGAAATGAAGAGAAAAGCTGCCGTGGACACGTCTGTTTGACCGAGCCTCTCTCTGATCCAGAGGCTACTGAGGAGCTGGTGGGCTGCTCCTGCCTTTGCTGCCTTATACTTAACAGATATGCAAATCTCTACCATGTGTGTTACACTGAGTAAGTCTTAGAAGGCAATACAGAAGTGCACAGCATCACCCCATCCCCCTGCTCCCTTAAGTCAGTCTTGTTTGGGGGTTCAGGTGGCCAACAGTAAGTTTAATGGTATCGCAGAACTGCCAGGGGCAGGCAAGGAAGGGGGTCACCCCCCCTAGCTGCTGGAATAGGAGGGGCTAAAGGCCCACAAGGACAGGAGCCCCGCCCAAGGCCTGACCACTCCCTGCTTCCACCCACACAGCCTTGTGCCAGATGCCAACTTCTTTTCGTCCCTACTGCCCATCTGGAAATCGTGGGAGGAAGCGGCCCTTCGGTTCCACTTAAAGCACTTTGCACAGAATGGCTACAGTCACTTAATGTCACCCGCTGCCAGACAGGAGGCCAGAGAGGAGAGTGAGTCCAGTTCCCCTTGCTGAGTCTACCTGCCAGTCACTGGTCACGCAGCTAACCCCCAAGCAAGAGAACTTCCACTCCCGGAATGCTCTTTCCCCAGTTTTAGGCCCTTTAACCAAACTTTAAAATTTGAACATATGGAGGTGGAGAGATGGCTCAGAAGTTAAGAGCACTAGCTGCTCTTCCAGAGGTCCTGGGTCCAATTCCCAGCACCCACATGGTGGCTCACAACCATCTGTAATGAGATCTGGTGCCCTCTTCTGGCCTGCAGGCATACATGCAGACAGAACAATGTATCCATAATAAATAAATAAATCTTAAAAAAAAAATAAAATAAAGGGGCTAGATAGATGGCTCAGCAGTTAAGAGTACTGGCTGTTCTTCCAGAGGACCCAAGGTTCAATTCCCAGCCCCTACATGGCAGCTCTGAACTGTTGAAAATCCAGTTCCAGGGGATCTGACATCCTCACACCAATGCACATAGAAAAACAAAATAAATTATAAATAAAATAAAATTTAAGCATGCAACATTAATGTCTTATACTGACCCAAACGTGGGATATTAAGCAAAAATCACGAGCCATTTAAAGTAAGAAGATGCTGGGGATGTGTGTGTGTGTGTGTGTGTGTGTGTGTGTGAGTGTGTGTGTATGTGTGTGGTGCTTAGCCTACACAAGGCTCTAGGTTCACCCCAGCACCTCTTATGGATATACAAATCAAGTACAATATAAGTAGCTTCTGCTTGCTTTTGAGACTGGAATCTGAGCATGGCACACTGGCCAGCATGCCTGCTCTGGCCCCAGGGTGATAGGTGAATTTACCTTGAGAGACAATGAGCCCGTCTCTTTATTCAGTGACAGGTCAGCAGACAGGGAGGTGCTGTAGTCCATGCTCTCTGAGGTAGACACGGTGCTGCAGTCTGAAGCCCTCTTAACATGGCTTGGAGTTACAGAGCTGGGGAGCTCCAGGCCACCATTGGCCAGCTTCTCTCCACCCAAGGTCTCCAGGGCACTGCTGTTGGGGCGGCTCTGGTTTGCCTTCTGGGACTTGCTGGCTGCAGGACTGGGGTCCTCAGCCTGGCCAGTGACTTGTTTCTCTTCGGCTACATGAATTCTGGCATCCATGGACAATGGTCGGGACTTCCGGAGGGTAACGGGTACCTTTAAGTCATTGTCACTCTTGGGGACCACATCCGCAGGGCTGACGGTTTGGAGAGGCCCATCCCCTGAGGGTTGGCTACCGTCCACAGGCTCCCGAGGCTGACTGGGAGGCAGGGTAACACAAGAATCCTGGGGAGGCTTGTCAGAGTTGAGGCTTGGCTCAGTTGCACCAGCAGAGTCCTGAATGTGGTTGGCCAGGGGCTAGAAAAGAGTCAAGGCTGAGCCTCTGGGAGCCCAGGCCCCACAGGCGACAGGCCAGCAGAGCAGAGCAGGGACCCTGAACCTAGTCTCCATACACTTCCCACAGCCTTTCCTCAACAGGCTGCCACTGGGTTGAGAACTCACCTCCTCTCTCTAATTGCTATTTCTACCAAAGCATTGCTCCTGTCCTACGAGGATAACAGGCTGTGGCTGGCTGTTGAGAGTCCCAGCCAATTGTCACAGTGTGGGGAATACTCCTGTCTCACCTGAGGCCAGGCCTCCCAATTTCTCAACAATTGATTTCTTTTGTTGTTTTTCTGTGATAGGGCCAAGTAGGTCAGGCTGGCCTCAGACTTGCTATGCAGCTAAGCATCACCATGAACTTCTGATCCCCCTGTCTCCACCTCCCAAGAGTTGGGATTACAGGTTTGCACTGCCATGCCAGTTTGAATGCGGGACTAAGATGCCAGGGCTCTGGGCATGTTAGACAAGCTGAGTGACATGCCCATCTTGGTAATCTGAATTTTCACATGATTATCTGTTGATTTCTAGATGGCAACCAATTCACATTGAAAAAAAAAAAAGTGCCGATCAGTCCTACCTGTCTGGGTTCAGCCCACCCATCCCTTGCATTTTAGTTTTTGTGGGGTGGAAAGTACTGGAAACATCACTATGATGAAACCAAATACTTATTTCTGTGAATAGGAAACTAAGTGTCTACATGGGGCATGAGGTGGAAGGGAGGCCACAGGGTGGGGGGGACAACTGGGAGTGGGAGGGGGGCCAGGGACCTCTTCTGTCTGAAGGAGAACCAAAACCAGATTTTTGTTTTAAATTTTAACAGCGAAGCCTAATTCTAATTAAAAATTTTAAAATTAAAAACAAAAAGAGCCAGGCACAATGGTGCACGCCTTTAATCTCAGCACTCAGGAAGCAGAGGGAGACGGGTCTCTGTGAGTTCAGGGCCACCCTGGTCTACATCGTGAGTGCCTAGACAGCTAAGGCTACACAGTAAGACCCTGTCTCATAAGCCAAAAATAAATAAATAAAAAGACAATACTATGGGTGCTTTGAGATGTAACCTAGTGAAAGGGGCAGATGGGGGGGTGTTGGAAAAAAAAAGAAAAAAGACAATAAATGGGAAGGGCCTGGAGGTTCAGCTCCGTGACAACTCAATGACAGCTCATCCTGACTTACTGGGGACCCTCTAGGATGAGCAATAACCTATGAGAAGCTCCTGGGATGAACTGTGAGACCAGGGACCCTAGGACAGCCCTAGGGCCTGCATGTTCGAGAACCTGGATCTGGCCAACAGCTGCTCAGCCTCACCCTGGGCATGGGTATTTGGGGCTCCCAGCCAGTTGGCCCCAAGAGGCAGAAAGGAAGCCTTCTCTAGCCCCCCTCCTCATCCCTCAGACTTACCGAGGAGGCATCCACAGCATCCTCCTCTTCTCCATCATCCCTGGCATCATCCCTGGCATCCTCAATCTCCTCCATCACCTCGGCCTTTGCCTCAGCCACCAGCTCCCGAAGAGCCTTGTTACTGGTGACATTGCTAACGAAGGGATGCTGAGAAGAAGACACACCTGTGTTAGAGCCATTTGGGGTCTGCTGTGGGGAAGGAGCAGCTATGGGATTTGATCCTCAGCAAAGAGGGCCAGCTGTGGTCCTAAGCAATGCATGAACTTGAAGTTGGTAAGGGGAACTCCCAAAGGACAAACAGCCATGCTGAAACCACAGGGAGTCATAAAGATGAAAAACAATTTGCTCGAAAGTGCCTTGTAAAACCGGGTCCAGTCCATGATTTTTTATGGGGTGGCGGTGCCATTTGTGTGTTCATTTTCTTTTTGAGCCCTGCTTCTCCTCTGCTAGCCCTCACCCATTCAGCTGCTCCATTCCATCCAGTTCTGTTTCTTTAGAGAACTCGGAATAATACAGACTAAATATGGTTTGCATTCTGACATGGCCATGAGCCTCTGGGGGCCAGGGAATAGAATGTGGCAGTTTGCTAAGCTCATCATATGTTTGAATTCTTGGTCCCCAGTTGGTGGAACTGTTTGGGAAGGATTAGGGGGCGTGGTCTTATTGGAGGAGGTGTGTCACTGGGGCTTCCGAGTTTCAAATGACTTGTGCCATTCCAGAGTATTCTCTCTGCTTCATGCTTGAGATGGAGATATGAACTCTCACTACTGCTCCAGCATCATGCCTGCCAGCCCAGTGCCATGCTCCCCTAACTGGGGGTCATGAACTCTAACCCTCTGAAACTCTATGTCCCCAACAAACCCTGGTCATGGCATCTCATCACAGCAACAGAATAACAACTAAGATATCCTCCCACACACAGTTACACCATGTTCCTACAAAGTCTCTTCAAGGGCAGAATTCTGGGAACAAGGAGTATGCCAGCACCCTCTGACCCTGAACTAGTTGCTAATTTAAGTTTTTTCACATTGTGTGGGTCAGTGTCATTATGGTCTTAGGTATGTATCTCCCACAGTCACGTGATTCCGTCTAAACAGATATTATTTTCCTGCTTAATAAGTTTGTTAACTTTGCTTCACTCCGACTTGTCTTAGTTTTTTTTTTTTTTTTTTCTCCTTCAAAATAGATTTTTATGTAGCCCGGGCTGGTCTCCAGTTACCTATGTAGCCAGGATGACCTTGAATTCTGATCCTTGTGCCTCCACCTCCCTAGTGCCAGGATCACGGGCATGCTCCAATATACCCAGTTTATGCAATGCCGGGGGCTGGACCCAGGGTTCTGTGCAGAGTAGGCTAGGATTCTATCTACTGATCTACACCCCCAGACCCCAAGACTCTATTCTGTGGCAGATGTGAGGATCATCCACTGCCCTGAGTAGATGTCCCGAGGCTCAGCTCACTGCCAGGCCCCATCCTTCCATGCTGGGGATGGAGGCTAAGCGGTGCTTTCTGTCACTGAGTCCCACTCCACGCTCCTGTTTCCAGTACACTGTGTCACTGGAAAAACACGTTACCGTCTGTTAGCCGTCCTGCTGCTGCTGGGCACATGGAGGTGTTTCCTGCTCTGGGTGACTATGAGGTGAATAGCTAGGGACAATATTACGTCACTTGTCTTTGGGCAGAAACACACACTTGGTTTCAGAAGGGCAATGCAGAGACTCCTGTCGGTGGGCTGTACTCTCTTCTGGGCTTTTACACAAGTAGAATTTCTCAAGAGAGAGTGCTCTTCTACAGGCAAAAGATCTGGGGGTGTCTGGTCAGCCTGACGCCCCTGGAGAAGCACCTGAATGAAGACACCATCTGCAGATACCTCCTCTCCGGCACAGGGAGTGGCCAGGGTGGGACTCCACAGCCCCTTCGTCACCGTGGGCAGAGGGGAAGGAATGCCAGCGGTTTAGGGCATCATCGGATTGGAATCTGCTCATCTGAGGTGAGAGGGAAGGGCTCTGGTGAAACCCGCTGCTGTCATCAGAAATCTTATCTGGGGAGGAATGGTGCCAACAAACTTGTTGCAGAAGTCTTAATAACTAAAAAAAACTACATTTCTCACACTTTAAAGATATATTTGGGGGGCTGGAGAGATGGCTCCGCAGTTAAAAGCCCTAGCTGCTCTTCCAGAGGACCCGGGTTCAATTCCCAAGGACTTACAAAGCAGCTCACGACCACCTCTATCTAACTCTAGCTCCGGAGGATCTGAGACCCTCCTCTGGCCTCCATGAGCACTGCATACGTGTGATACACAGGCACATGTGCAGGCAAAATACCATGCACACAAATAAAATTTAAAAAAAAAAAACCACATATTTAGAACTGGCAAATCCACGAGAAGTCATTCCTTCCGGTCTGGACATTTAAAGCACCTCTGGGGCTGGCGAGATGACTCAGTAGGTAGACAACTGACAAGGAAGCCTGAGGACCCCGGCTGGGTCCCCACATCCCCAATGACCCCCACAGGCTGTCCTCTCACCTCCACACGATGGCACAAGCATGCCTGGCCCAGTTCACACAGAAAATGAAAATGAATAAAAGTTTCCTTTGGGTCTGGGTACAGAACAGGAGCAGGGCGCTTGTCTAACACGTGTGAGGCCCTGCGATCAACCCCTAGCACCATAAAACTCGGTCAGTAAGGCAGGTCACTGGTGGACAGCCAGCAAGCCACTTCCTACTCGACTCGTTCCCCTGAAAGCCACAACTATCATTCCTTTAATGAGTTGTGTCTGTCACATTTTCTTGGGCCAGTCTGACCTCGGCTCATCTAATCTCGTGGAGCTGTGAATTTTCCCATTCATCCACTGCTTTCTTTTTTTTAAAAATATTTATTTATTATGCATACAATATTCTGTCTGTGTGTATGTCTGCAGGCCAGAAGAGGGCACCAGAGCTCATTACAGATGGTTGTGAGCCACCGCGTGGTTGCCAGGAATTGAACTCAAGCCCTTTGGAAGAGCAGGCAATGCTCTTAACCACTGAGCCATCTCTCCAGCCCCCTCCACTGCTTTCTTGACACAGCTACGCAGCAACTCCAAGGATGTGACCTCATGTGCCAGGGCCTGGTCGGGCCTTTCGCCAAAGGAGTCAGAAAACCCGTGACAAAATGACGGTCAGGCTGGCACAAGTTTCCTACATCTTTTTGGGGCTTTTTGAGAGGGGATGTGCCACATTCAAGCAGGGACCCCGGGGACCCGTGGGGGAAAGTCAGGGAAAACTCCTGGTACAGAGTGTTGGGCAAAGGTATGGCCTTCATAGACCCTGAGGTAGATCTGGGCTTAAAGGGTGGAGGAAGAGCAGGAGGGCCTCCAGCAATGCCTGGGAGACAAAGGAGCTGAGAGGGAGCCTAGGCAGCATCAGGGCCCGGGGCACGGCCTGGGGAATGAGAGCAGCGCCCATGGCCTGGGGCAGTGGAGGGCAGCACACATCACACAGGGCAGTCGAGAGCATGAGCGTGACCTGGGCCAGAGGAGAGCCATTCCCTATTTATTCTCAGAGGCTCTGCTACCCAGTACCGTGTTACTCTGGCTGCTGCATGCTTCCAGAAGTCCCGAGTGGGCTACTCACAGAGTTAACCAACTGGTCACCAGGATGTGCAGGGTAAAGTGTGTTGACTAGGTGACAGAGTTAAGCCACCTGGGTAAAATCCAGCTCCCGCTGTCAACACGGGTGTGTCAAGAGACCCTCTCTGTGCCTTAGTTTGCTCGTCTGTGGAGTGGGGATAATAGTATGGCTGTCCTATGTACTCTACTGAGTGTTCAAAACAGCTTGTCATCACCAGTACGACCACCTCCATCACCATCAACACCATCACTACCACTATTACCATTACCACAACCACCATCACCATTAGAACACCATCATCGGAATGACGATTACTGCTGTCTTCACCATCACTGTCTTCACTGACGTTACCACCACCAGCAGTCATCACTACCATCATTACTATCACAGCCATCACCACCATCACTGCCACCATCACCACATCACCATAGCCACCACCCCCAGATCACTGCCATCACCATCACCACTACCACAGCCACCAGCAGCAGCACCACAGCAGGTTCAGAACGAGCCACGCGGCCTCTTCGCCCTCCTAGTCATTCTCTACCAGAGCACAGTTCTCTGGGAACGAGGAGTAGCTCCGAGATCCCCACAGCTTCTGAGCTCCGTACCACATGACCCAAGCAGGACACTGCACCAGCAGCTAAAGCAGAGGTGGCAGGAACCATGCAGGCCTAGGCGTCCGAGGGTACAAGGCTTTCATCAGGGCACCCCACATATTGACCAAATTAGCAGCTCTTGAGGAGAACCATCTGCTCTGCCTGCCCAGAGCCCAGGGTCCCTAGGAGGAGGAGGGGATGGAGGACAGTCTTTCACGGAGGGCCAGTTAAACAGGGCAGCTCCCTGCAGGTGGCCCCGGGCAGGTGGCTGGTGTGTGGGCAGCCCTGCCAAGGCTGACCAGGCCTTGATGTGTGTCAAGAGTAACAGGCAGTGTGGCCTGCACTGCATCAGTTCACCGATGTGGGTGGAGAGAAGTCTCTCTGTCTTACTCAAATGCTGAGACCCTCAGAGAGCTGGACCTGGGGCCCTCCCAGGGTGGTCAGGCACTGGGCAAACACTCCATGTGCCACACCAGCAAGGCTAATCCATGCAGGCTGGTCCAGGCATAAGGGCAGATCAGAGCTGGCTTCACTGTCTACCCCTCCAGGAAGAGGGATGGCTGCTCAGAGCCAGCTCTGCTGAGGGCTTCAAGCTGCCAGAATGGAGGTGGCAGCAAACAGCTTGCCAACTGGCACCTCTCTTTGGCCAGGATCTCTGCTGCCACTGAAAGAGATGCCCTTCCCAAGTGAGCCTATGTTCTTTCTACACCGAGAAGCCACTAGCATGTGTGTGTGTGTGCTAGCGTACACGTGTGCGTGACAAAGTGAGATGAAAGTATGCCCCCCAGCCTGCACCCTCACTTTCTATTTCTATTTTTTACCTTTATTTTTATGTGTACAAGTTATTATTATTTGCGCATGTCTGAGCACCATGAGCGTGCAGTGACTCTGGAGGCCAGAAGAGAGCGAAAGATCCTACGGAACTGGAGTGACAGACAGTTGTGAACTGCCACGTGGGTACTGGGATTTGAACCCGGGTCCTACAGATGCGCAGTCAGTGCTCTTAAACACCAAGCCATCTCTCCAGCCCCTCTTTGGGACGTGTTTCTTTCCTGTACTCATTAGAAGCAGCTTCCCAGAATGGTCAAGGGCACAGACTTCAGAGTCAAGTCACCAGCTGTCCTTTACAACTGCAAGACCTTACCTGTGTGACGGAGCATGCTCAGCTCCAACTACACCAAACTGCTGTGGGCACTGTCCTAGTTAACATCTGCTAAGTGTCAGGAATAGCAGCTGACGCGGACAGAGTGTTTGCCAATGTTAATCAGGTAAACATTACTTCCACAGCAAACAATTGCGAAGGGCTCCCGACACGCCAGGCGCCGCCCTGGGGAGACGTCTGTGAACCAGGCTGTTGTCCTCAGAGACTCAACACTCTTGTCAGGGTTTGAATCTAGAAGGTTCCTCACAGGCTCATGTTCTGAACATTTCTTTTTTCAGACAGTTTATTTTTATTTTATGTGCACTGGTGTTTGGCCTGCATGTCTGCCTGTGTGAGTGTGTCAGATCTTGGAATTATAGACAGTTGTGAGCTGCTATGTAGGTGCTGGGAATTAAACCCCGGGTTCTCTGAAAGAACAGACAGTGCTCTTAACCACTGAGCCATCTCTCCAGCCCCTCAAGTTCGAAATCCTTGACCCCCAGCTTGTGGCATTATTGTGAAAGCTGTGGGAACTTTAGGGGTACAGTATGGCTGGCAGAAGGTCACTAGAGGTACCCCTCGAAGGGTGGCACCCAGCTGCTCACAGTGGCACTCTCTCCCTCCTATGCCATGCAAACAGCTCCCTATGCGCCACCACGGCCAAGACCAGAGTCCCCTCCAGCTGCCAGGCCTTACCCACCCTGGTGGACTGAGAGCCCCCACAACCAGGAACCAAAACAAACCCTTCCTCCAGGCTGCCTTCACCTGGTATGTTGTCTCTGCAGTGAGAAGGGCCAGTACAAAACGTGCTAACTGAGGGGCTGTGTTTAGGGGGTAGGGCAGGAATCCTGCTCACAAGGTGCTTCTGAGAACAGACTCAGAAGTAGCACAGCACCCAGCAGGGAAGCCACTGACTGAGTGAAGGGCAAGGCAGCTCTGACGGTGGCCCCGTGGAGGCGGTGGGCCTTCTCTGAAGGCAGAGGAAGTAGGATCCATGATAGGAGGGATGTGGAGAATGAGAGAGTACCGGGCTGCCAGAGTGGAGATTGTCAGCCACCGCAGAGTGTGCCTGAGGAGCTGTGGCAAGGCTGAAGTGGCTGTGGGCATCCGAAGAGATACAGGGACAAAGGTCCGGGGTCAGGGGTGAATGAGCTGGAGGCTCCAAGCCAGAGGTCCCCACAGGCTGGCTTTGATCATCACAGCAAGTTGAGGGGAGCAGAAAGCCCCAGTGCTCACCACACTCATCAGCTGATGTGCAAGGCAGGTAAGGGAAGGAGGCATACAGGGAGTGGGACAACAGGAGTGACAGACAAGGCCTGAGCTCGCTGCTACTTCCGAAACCATGGAAACTGCTGCCAAGTGGTTGTGGGTGAGTGCTGGAGTAACGTGAACAAGGGGAATGTTTTCTCATGCCGGCTAGCCACCTGACTGAGGAGAAACTGAGGCACAGAGAGAACTCCTTGCACACCTGGTTGGCGGTGCCTGCTTTTAGGGTTAGGCTGCCCACAGCAGCAGGACACTGGCCCAGTGACATTCGTGCAGATGAAATGACTGGGCCATCAGTCCCCGGGAGCAGGAGTGGCTCAGCCATGTGGGACACAGGAGGGCAAGGAGGAACAGCCCCCCCCCCCAGAAGCCACAGACACAGGGCCGAGGTGCCCACAGTCTAACCAGGTGACCTCAAGTCTGGCAGATCAGTGTGTTCTTCCAACCCGCTACAGAAACAGCTGCTGGGGAGTTCCCAGCAGGTCTGAGGGCTGCTGGGTAAACTGAGGTTGAGCTCCTTCCCTCTACCACCCTCCCCTCTGCACTGTACTCTCTTCCCTACACACTGAGACTCCCCTGGCAGACGCCGCTTCAGCTAGGAAGTGGAAATTCCTGGCTCCAGCTAAGGCTCCGGGCTGCCATGTGGGATGGGACAGCTGGTCTCTGACCTGCCAGCGTCAGGCCAGCCAGATGCCCCAGCCCAGGAGGTGCTGTTTACAGCAAGCAGCTGGCCCCAAGTGGCTTGGGGCCTTTGCAGCTGACAGTGCCGGCAGCCCCATCCCGTATATCAACACAGCTCACTGAGAAGGGGCAGCCAGGAAGACCAGGCACTTGATCTTGAAACAGGCATGTGAAAGGAGAATCAGAGACTCCTAGCACTTAGGCCCACTTCTCCTTTTCTTTTTCTTTGAGATGGTCTTGCTGCACAGCTCTGGCTGGTCTGGAACTTGCTCGTCCTGCCTCTGCCTCACAAGGACTCGATTTAAGGTGTGTGCACCACATCTTGTCTCCTTTCATTTTTCAAAACGGCGCTGGTCTCACCAAGCGTCCTTTGAGCACAGCGCCTCAGAGCCGAGCTAAGCACTTGACTGTTTGCCCGTTCATCTTCACAGCCACCCTTCCGGGGCCCGCTGCTATTAACCTCACTCACCTCCAGCAGCTGTGCAGCACTGGGCCGGGTCTCTGGGTTCTTATCCAACGCTATCTTCAGGAAGTCTCGGAACTCCACAGACCTGGGGGGACAGGTGTAAGGAGGGGGTCCACATCACAGGTGAAAGAAGTGGGCCATAACACAGCCACCACGTGCCTAGGATTTGGTATCGCCCCAAAACAACACTCCTAAGAACAAAGGGGCCTCTGTGGCCTAAAAATGGAGACAGGTTCTACGTGACACCCTTCTCATCATAGAAGACAAAGGGAACAGAGACTGAACCCAAGTCCCCATTCCTAGCCCTGAGTCATGTGACTGCTGTGCTTCTATTTATGTTCTCCGTGTCCTGGGACAAAAAGGGATCTCACACTGGCTAAGCGACCTCACTCCCACGCCTCCTATACAAAGTTCAGGTGGGCAGCTCAGAAAGGCCTGGAGGTGCCCCCTCCCCCACCCCAGCTCCGGCATCCCCCTGACTTTGGAGTCCGCTGAGCCAAGGGCTAGATACTGCACGCCTACACCCCAGTGCCGCCACGCCTCAGGTCCCCTGACTTCAGACCCTCTATAAGTATCCAGCTGTCCTCTCTCCTTACCACTTGGAGGGCGTGAGCAACGTGGGAGGGTCCGACTTGGCAATCTTGAGCAGGACCCGCATGGGGTTGAGCTCGTGGTGTGGGGGCTCAATCTGTGCCATCTCGATCAGCGTGATGCCCAAGGACCAGATGTCAGCCTTGTAGTCATAGGGCGCGTCCTTCATGGTCTCACAGAGCACCACCTCAGGGGCCATCCTGAGCCAACCAAGGAACAATAAGGGCTCAGAATAGGGCCCCTGAGAGTGCTGCTTGTAGCCTCAGGGTCTGGAACACCGCCAGCTCCACACTGGCAGCGTTTGAAGGCAGTAATTTGAATTACTGGCATCCGTTTGTCTTCCTCAAGGGTCTTGACGAGCCCCTGCCACGGCCTGCTGCAGTTTCTGGAACCTACCACTAGGTGGCAGCAGCAATCCAGAACAGAGTCCTGGGGAAGGGGCAGGTGGGTGAGGGCAGAGGGAAGGTTCCAGCATAAAAACAAGGTGGGACCTTGGGGTAAACCGAACAGGACAGCACAGAGAGAAATGGGGAGGATGGGAGAGAAGAGAAAGGAATAATGGGTGGGGTGGGAGAGAAAGAGTTAAGAGTAATAAGCAAGCCAGAAAGGGGCTGAACACCACAAGGTGAGTTGTAAAAACAGGACACAAAGCAATCAGGTGTGAAACTGAGGAAGAGAGCTGTGGGCTGGGGTGGCGCTCACACGCATGCGCGCGCTGCACGTGTGGGAGTGTGGGTGCTCAGCGCCACACGTCTGCAGACTGAGGCCAAAGCAAGACTTAGGATGTCCTTCTCTACCAGAACAGCTTTCTTTTCGTATATGTTTTTAGGTTAGAGTTTTGAAAAAGGAAACGCAACAGGTGAGACAGGCCCAGGGAGAGTTCTCATGAGGACAGGAAGTGAATTTACATTGTTCCTCTGCCCCCACCCGTAGCTCAGCACCTGCGTAAATCAAACCAAGAACTGAAGCCCTTTTCAGGGACTCAGTTTAGTTTATCAATGGGGAGCTTTCCAATGTAAGCCCAGTTTATAAATGAGGTTTGGGGAAACTGAGGAACTTGTCCTAAACAGAGAAGTGGAGTCTGGACCCACACTGAAGGGCTCACCCGGCAGGGGGAGGGGGGGCCACAAAAGATCCACCCAGAGGGACCGCGGGGTCAGCTTGATAGTCAGTCAGCCTGTCCCTCAATTCCTCAGAGGCCTCACAACTCACCAGTAGGGCGTTCCTATGAAGGAATCTCGCTTCTGCAGCGTTTTCAGGTTCTTGGCAGACACACCGAAATCAGCTGCAAGATAAAAACCTCAGATAAGACAGCTGAAGGCCTCATCTCCACCCAAGTCCTAGGTGTGGGCTCAGGGATGCTCGCGCCAGAGTCAGGGATGCTCCCTACGTGACGTTTTTTATGCAACTAACGAGAGAGCTAAAATGGAAGCGAGCTTGCTGCTGAGCTGGGCACTCTGACAATAAATCACAAGAGCCTTTGAAAAAGCCAGATTCGGGTGGGGCGGTGGAGTCCTGGAACTCGCTCTGTAGACCAAGCTCGAGCTCACAGAGATCTGCCCGCCTCAGCCTTCCAAGTGCTGGGATTACTGGCATGTGCCACCACTTGACTTTTTTTTTCTTAGCTTTTTCAAGAAGGATTTAAAGATGGTCTCTCTCTCTCTCTCTCTCTCTCTCTCTCTCTCACTCACACACATTAAAAAACAAACAAACAAAAAAAAAACCCCACTACACAAAGTACTTGCCTAGCATGCACAGCACTGTGGATCTGTTCCCCAGCATGCGATTTTAAATATCACAAAGAACACTTCACATAAAACACTTTATTTATACACTTATTGGTACGTGATTACTATTATCAGGTTAACGAAGCAAAGAAGGTTGCACAGTGTCCGTGCTGCACGGACACAACCGTGCTGGCCCCAGGAGGGTAAACACACACTGAACGGCCTCGGAGGACAGGATGCTTCACTGGTGTGGGTGGGTGGTTTGACAGGACACGGTGCCTTCCACTTGCTGGATTAAGAAACTTTGCTATGATAAATATGTGTGATTTTCAGGACTAAGAAAAATAAATCAGTAAGACTTCTCTTTAAACACATTCAATACATCCCACACCCAGGATGAAGAGAACAATCTAGAAGGGGAAGCATCTTCCAGGCACCTGCCTTAGAGGCCACACTTCCTGGTGGCCAAGCTGCGCTCTGGAGATGGCGCTCGGCTGGAGGATGGTGACTTCTCCTAAGAACTCCACCAGACTTTCACCAGACTCACAGCTTCAAACCAGAAGGGAGCCCAGGCAGAGCGGGGTGCCAGCTCCTCTTGGCTGGGCTCCTTCAAGACTCCCCAGGCACCTTCAGGAGCAGGCTGGCTGGAGAAGAACCACAGGGAGCACAGAGGCAAATCCAGCACTGGTCCAAACCAGGCTCAGTCAGGGAAACAGAGAGCAGCCAATCAATAGAAGCTTTTTCAGCTGGAGGGAGGGAGGTAAAGGAGAGGGTGAGGACATAGGGGTGTTAATAGGGTGTGACCTGGGAAGCAGTCAGGAAGTGAGGGAAGGAGGGGTCACCTAGAGGAGGCACAGGGGAGGGTCCGAGGCACCCATTCTTTTCAAGACCAGCAAATATGAGCATCCTAATGTTCCAGGTGCCATCCACTGCTGAGATGGCCTTCCCGCCAGGCCACTTGTGCAGACTGTGACACATTTGACCAATCTGGTGGGATTCCTGGGAGCACAACTGGAAAACAGTATTTGTGGGGCAGGATTAGAGAGGACACAATTGAAGGCAGGATTCCTGGGATAGGACTCCTGGGGCAACAGTTGGGGGACGGGATTCTCACTGATGAGGGACAGTAAAGGGCCAGGTGCTGGGCACTGGGGCCACTGGGTTGGTCAAGATCTGAGGGAGACAATTCTGAGGCAGAACTGAAAGGCAGGGGAAACTCCAGGGACACGAGGAGAGAGAGGAGAAGCCTTCTGAACCATCTGGTGGGAATCCCTCACCAGCGGCTGAACAAGAACATTCATTCCAGAACAGCTAACTCACTGTTCAAGGACTTCCTCCGCTGCCAACCTAAACAGGCAGTTTTCTAGGGATCTCACCAGAAGGCACATTTACAGGGAACGCACACAACCCACACCCTAGTATAGCCCTTGACAGCGCCTCATTTGACCTTATCTGGTTCTATGCCCATCCAAGGAATCTCCAGAGCTACCACTTGCTGGTGGGTTTTATGTCAACTTGACACAGCTAGGGTCATCTTGGAAAGAGAGACCTCGGTTGGAAAAAAATGCCTCCATTCAGATTGCCTGTGGGGAAGTCTGTATTTATTTATTAATTATTATTATTAATGGTTGATATGGGGGACTGGCCCATGGATGGGGTGTCACCCCTAGGCTGGTGATCCTGGGTTCTATAAGAAAGCGGACTGAACAAGCCATGATGAGCAGGTCAGTGGGCACCCCTCCACGGCCTCTGCATCAGCTCCTACTCTAGGCTCCTGCCCACTTCTCTGGATGATGGACTATGAGCTGTAAGATGAAATCAATGCCCTGACCCCCAAGGTGCTTGGCCATGGTGTTTCATCACAGCAAGAGAACCCTAATTAAGACACACCACACAGATCTCTCTGAGAGAGAGAGAGAGAGAGAGAGAGAGAGAGAGAGAGATTTCTTTTTCTCAGCAACCTTCTGAGGTGTATCTTGTCACCAAAGGGTGAACACTGCCAATTCTAAGACAGTTAATTGCTTCCTCTCCCTAGAGGAGCCATGCCTATACTTTGGGGTATGTATGTTTTACTGAAGGTGAGAAGCCCACACCCATACTCCCAGACTTCTGAATGTATCTTAACTCTCTTAGAACACTGGTGTCTGTGTGTCTCTGTGAGCTTTGGAACATTCCACATGGAGAGGACAGAGGGCAACTTGTAAGAGTCAGCGCTCTTCTTCCACCACGTGAATTCCAGGAATGGAACTCTGATCATCGGGGTTGGCAGCAACACACAAAAGCACGCACGCACGCACGCACGCACGCACAGCCAATCCTCTTCTACGCATCTCCGTTCTCTCACCTCTCACGCTGACGCCACTCCAGGCAGTCTTTATAATCACAGACTCTACCGTATAGATGGACTAGTCCTGAAATTCTTTCCCTCACTGAAGCCATGAACCCGTTTGTCCTGAGTCAAGGTCCCTAACGGTGTAGGGGACTCTCCCGGCTATAGAGAGGAAGCGGTACGGAGTCGTCCGTCCTCTTAACACATTTCCCCAGGCATTAGAAACGAGCAGGAGCTAGTTGGGGCTGGGGAGTGGAAGAGCTAGGTGGAGGGCCACGAGGGACAGGATAATGTGTCGTCCCCACAGTGACACAGGGATGCTGACCCTTGATTCTTTAGAGTTCGTCTGGGGGTTGTCCCGAGGATTAAATCGACACATCTGCAAAATTACTCAGCTCCCACCCTAGGTCATCATGACTGCTTCATACAGGAGCCCAAGGAAAGGCCCACCCTGAGAACCTGGGGCCTCGAAAGGCCCAGATGAACAAGCCTCTCCTGGGAGTGGCCATGAAGCAGCTCTCTGCCTGGGCAATGCAGACTGGATTGCACTGCTCTCTCTCTCTCTCTCTCTCTCTCTCTCTCTCTCTCTCTCTCTCTCTCTCTCTCTCTCTCTCTCTGTGTGTGTGTGTGTGTGTGTCTCTGTGTCTCTGTCTTTGTGTGTGTGTGGAGGGGGGGGCTGCTTAGCTTGGAGAGGGGTCCCGCAAGGGTTCCCAGTAAGAATGAGGACTGGACTTTCCTTCCTGCTGGGTCAGCCTGGGTACTGTTTCCCCACAAACATTCCTTGGGGTGAAGATTCCAGAAACTGGCCGTTCCGTTCGACTCCCACCCCCCTGGGCCTTGCCACACCTTCTTCAAGAGAGAAGGGGAAATGGGAAACCATCCACTTCCACAATGACAAGCTGGCCCAGGGCCCTCCTGGAAGCAGGCACCAAGTCAATTTAGGGTAGTAGTAACTTCTTCCTCTTCACAGAAGGGGCATGGTGTGGGGGTGGGGGGAGGAAAGGCAGAGGTGGCTGCTACTGGAGCCCAGCACCTCAGGCTTCTCCCGGACTGGACACTGATGGGGGGTGACCTATGCTCCCTGGTTGGACTTCATGAGGGAATCCCCTGAGGGGGTGGGGGACATCTTGGGTTTTGACTCACCTCTTCTCACAACAGCATGGTTCTCTCTGCATTTCTGAGTAAGTTAGAAACAAGTCAGCAGGGTCACAGACTCCCTGATAGACTGTAGCTCAGGGACTCTTTGCACCACACATCTGGAGCAAGAAAGCCAAGAGAACATGGAACATGCTCACAGTCACAGCCAAAGGAGCACAGTCACTGCCAGAGGAGCACAGTCATGGCCAGAGGAGCACAGACACAGCCAGGCGGGCACAGACACAGTTAAGGGAGCACAGTCATAGTTAAGGGAGCACAGTCACAGCCAGGGGAGCACAGTCACAGTTAAGGGAGCATAGTCACAGCCAAGGGAGCACAGACACAGCCAGGGGAGCACAGTCACAGTTAAGGGAGCACAGTCACAGCCAGGGGAGCACAGACACAGTCAGGGGAGTACAACACAGATAACTGAGCACAGTGACATCTAAGGGAGCACATAAACTTTGCTGGAAAGTCTTTGCTTATGAACCCCCAACACACACACACACACACACACACACACACACACACACACACCACAGAGTTTTAGTTACGTGCTGTCAATACCAGTTTAGAACTATTACATGGGACATTTTAGAAGTAAATCATAAGTCTTTTGGGGGGAAGGGGTTAAAGACAGGGTTTTTTCTGTGTAACAGCCCTGGCTGTCCTGGAACTAGCTTTTGTAGACCAGGCTGGTCTCAGACTCACAAAGATCCACTTGTCTCTGCCTCTCGAGTGCTGAGATTAAAGGCATGTGCCTCCACCATCCAGTAAGTCATAAATCTTAAATAACATTCATTACATCACATAATTATAGTTCTATTTTACCACTAAATATTGTTCTTAATCTCTTATGTACCTAATTTATAAACTAAAGTTGTCACCGTGTATGACTAGGAAAAACATACCATGTAGGGGGTCCTGAACCCCTGTGCTGTCAGGCACTCACTGTGTCTTGGATTGTCTCCCCTATGGGTAACCATGGATGCTGGATGTTTGGCTTTTTTATTTTATTTTTTATGTATGAATGTTTGGCGGCATGTATGTATTATGTATGTGCAACCCTGCATGCCTGGTGCCTCCAAAGTG